TAGAAATATGTGTGCGTCCAAATGATTTGGCCATATCACCAAGTCAGTCTTTTGTTGGCTTGGTTTTATATTTTTGATTGCATTAAAATATCTTCAGTTTATTATAATTTTTTCTAGGAATATATTATTTTTAATGCATTTATTTACACATAGACATTAGATTATACGTAGGAATACTAAAGGAGAAATGATCTTATTATCTTCTATCAGGTGGAAACAGTACATTTTCTTGAAAGGATTTTTGAAAGTTAAATATAGGGAGCTTTGAAACTTTTTTTCAATACACTTTATTGTGCGTGGTTATTTTTGTTGCTGTTTTTTAATGGCTAAGCATTTATAATTTACATTTAGAGTCATTTTTTTTTAACAGTTTGTTCTACGTAATATATAAAGTACCTTTTAAGGAAACTTGGTTTTCATTATTTCTTTCGTGCAACTATTTCTAGATTTTAATAATGCTTGCTCTTTATTCACAGTTGTTGTTGTTGTTAGGTGCCATCAAGTCGGTACTTAACCCATAGCGACCTTATGACCAGCAGAATGAAACACTGCCCGATCCTGAGCCAACCTCACTACTGCTGCCACGTTTGAGTCCATCAATGCTGCCACTTAGCCAATCCATCTCATTGGGGGTCTTCCTCTTTTTCTCTGACTCTCCACTTTACCAAACATGATATCCTTCTCCAGTGACTGGTCCCTTCTGACAATATGTCCAAGTATGAGAGACAAAGTTTGGCCATCTTGACCTCCAAGGAGTACTCTGGCTGTACTTCTTCCAAAACGAATCTATTGGAAGCCCATGACACTTTCAATATTCTCCTCCAACACCATAACTCAAAAGCATCAATTCTTCTACAATCTTCCTTATTCACTGCCCAGCTTTCAAGTCCTTGACAACTTCAATCTTTTCTCCGTTGATAAAAATGTTGTTTATTGGTCCAGTGGTGATGATTTTTGTTTTCTTTACATTGAGATGTAATCCCTACTGAAGTCTGTGCTCTTTGATCTTCATCAGTAAATGTTTTAAGTCCTCTTCACTTTCAGCAAGCAAGGTTGTATCATCTGCATATCACAGGTTGTTAATGAGTCTTTCTCTAATCCTGATGCCATGTTTTTCTTCATAGAACCCAGCTTCTCGGATGATTTGTTCAGCCTACAGGTTGATTAAGTATGGTGAAAGAATACAACCTTGTCACACACCTTTCTTAATTTTAAATCATTCAGTGTTCCCATGTTCTGTTCGAACAACTGCCTCTTGGATCAGGTACAGATTCTTCACAGTAGTGACAGGGAAACTATTATCAAGAGAAGAAAGAGTGCTGCAAATATAGAAGGTTGTTGATGGTTGCTTAGTTTTACAGTTCTGCTATAACAGAAATCAAGTCCTGGTGTCGCAGTCAGCACTGGACTGCTAACCACAAGGTTGATGGTTCAAACCCACTAGCCACTTCTTGGAAAACCTATACAGGGTCGCTATGAGTCAAACGTGACTTGATGGCACCTACTAACAACAACATAATAGAAGTACCACAAATTGGCGGTTTTAAAGAACAGAAATTTATTTTATATACTTCAGGAAGCTAGGTGGCTAACTTCAGGCTATGATTATAGGGGGAGGTCTTTCTTTGTTTATTTCTTCGAATGACTGGCATGGGAGCCTGGAAATGCAATGGTTAAGGGCTTGGCTGCTAATCCAAAGGGTGGTGATTTGATGCTACCAGCCACTCCATTAGAGGAAGATGTGGCAGTCTGCTTCTGTGAAGATTTATCACCTTGGAAACTCATTGGGGTACTTCTCCTCTGCCCTAGAGGGTAACTATGAGTCTGAATCATGGTTTTATTGGCTGGCAATCCTTGCTGATCCTGGACTTGTAGATTCATCTGTTTCTGTCATTGTCAGATGATGTCTGCCTTCCCCTGTAGCTACTCTTTTTATAACTCAGAAGTGATTAGCTTTAAGACACATCCTACATTGGTATGATCTTCTTAACATAGCAAAAACCCTATTTCCAAATAAGATTATATTCATAAGAATTGGCTTTAGAATTTTTGCAAGTATTTCAGGGGAAAGGGTAGGTGGACATGATTCAATCTATTCCAGAAGGTTGGTGGAGAGAAGTGATGGGGACTTCTAGGAAGGGTTCTAATTATACTGCATTAATCCAAAACACAAATACATGGCAATTACACTCCTAACCTCGAAAAGATATGTATAATTCTTATACTACTAAGTATATACTACTAACGCAAGTCATATGACAGAAACAGGCATTTTGCAAACATCAAATTTTCTGGCCACATCTTTGTTCTTAGGTGCCATTTTAAAAAGTCCCTCTCTGAGTAAAATAAATTTACTCACCACTCTCTTGCTTCTTCCATCATAAAATATTTTCCATCAAAAAGGTTGGCTCTAGATTAATGATTAGTCAAGAGGGAAAAATACATTTTGCTAAATATAGAAAAACTTGAAGAGTCTTGAATTCTCTTTAGCACAAGCAAAACCCAACTTCCTGATTCAATTTAAAAAAAAAAGAAAGAAAACATGCATATGGTTCATTGGTTGTCAACTGGCTTTTACAAAACACCATCTTGATGAATTAAGAGTAAATGAATGAGAACCATATGGATGAATTTTCTTTGAAATATGCCCAGGATTAAGAAGTTTAAGAAAAACCGTTCTTGGCAAATATAGTTTTGAAGTTTTTGGTGGGATAAAAATATTTGAAAAATAGTCTGAAGTGTTTTGTTGAGCCCAAGCCTTAAAGTACCAAATTTTGCAATCCACAGGGGCAAATTGGTGATAATAAACCTTTAGAAAGTTTGGGTAAAGGGTCTTGTTCTAAGAAAAAGTCAGATACCAATTTGATCTTTTTTTTTTTTTTTTTTTCTTTTTTGGCATTAGGCTTTCTTTTATTTATATATATTTTTAAAGAATAATCCATTTCAAACGTCTCAGAAGTTATCCTGTCTAATGTAATATCCCTGTCCTGGGACTTTCTAGCCTAAACTTGAATGTGTGAACTGATGGAAAACTTACTCTTTTACGCATTCTCCTTCATGCAGATATATTGGCTTGTTTAGGCCTTAACAATTTATGAAACAGATATTATAAGTGCCCTTATTTTTTTAATGTTTTATTGTGAATTATTTGATAGTTTACATAGGAGAACATTAGTTTTACATACATCTTATCATATATTGTTTCATTGCCATGGTTACATTCCCCTCCAAGCATCATCACCCAGCCAAAGGGTATATACTACAAGCCTGCCTCCCGGATCATCAGCACACAGCTCCTCTCCCTCTCTGTGTCTAAAGTCCCCAGCCACTCCATCTTGCCACATATTCATCTCTGCCTCCATCTCAGGTATCACTGCTTCTCTGGGTAGGGTCCTGCTCTCCGCTGTTCTCCATTGATGGTCCCAGGGACCTCTGCTCCTAGACTGAAAAGTTAATCAGTTCCCTCCTTGCTACAAAACATCTACCTTTATATTCCCAACCCTCACAAGCAGTCCTGATAACAATCATTGACTATTGTATCATAAGAGACCTATCCACATTTCATTTCATCAGCCCCACCTAGACAGATTGGATACTACTCAGTGGAGATTCTACCTTCCGCCACACCTTCTGGATCTAGGTTCCCTCTTGAAAGCTTGTAAGCCTGTCACTTCTTGCCTTTGTAGCTTCCCCCTCCCCCCATTTTGGGAGGCCAATGTCCAAGTTGCCCATCCCTGTATACTCTGTGTATAGAGGGGGTGGGAATGATCCTTGCTGTAAAGATTTGTGCCTCTTTTGAGCTACTGCATCCATAGGCGTAGGTCAAGTTCATCAAATTGTATCAGATTACTCTTTTTTTTTTCTCTTCTTTCTTCTTCTAGTTGAGCTCTGATCATCCAGTCATTGAAGCCAGGTCAAGTGGGTATTATCTGCAAGTGTGGGTGTTCTTGTGCATATGCCCTCTCTTCTTATCAGCTGGACACGTCACTCTTTACTGTAGTCCTCTGTGTCATGGACTCTGGGCCCAAGAGTCCCCACCCAGGTCTTGCCACACTGCAGGCCAACCAGGTCTCCACCCAGATTCACAGGAGTCTATTGAACGTTAAAGGGTTTAACTTGCAGCTTCGTTGCTGTTTTTCCCTCACTTCCCCTATGTCGGTGACGAATGTGGTCACCAATCAGAGCATGTATCCCCATTGAGTCTTAGTTTTGGAAGGGGGTTTGCACTGAGGAGACCCGACCACTTACCTTGATGTCTCCTGGGCAAGCAATTTGCTTGTTCTTATAGTAACAGTTGGTCTGCCTAAATTGTTTTGTATTTTTCCTGTAGGTCTTTCTTTCAAGAAGTATCTTCTGTTCTTTTAGCCACTCCAGGCTGGTCTGCTAGTCCTTTCAAATCAACTTGATCATCCTTAAGGGAAGTTTTCAAATAGGGTTCATTTCAGAATTCAGACCTGCTCTTACTGTGCGTTGCTGTTGTTGTAATGTGCCATTGAGTCAGTTCCAAATCATAACGACCCTGCTTCTGAGAAGCACTTCGTAAATTTGAACCACCAACCTTACTGTTCTAATCGACTTTTTAGTAACTTAGCTTATCCTTGTTGTTAAGTACTGTAGAGTGGGTTTACACTCACAGCAACCTTGTATAGGGTTTCCATGGCGCAGCTGATGACCTTGAACCAACCTTGTACTGCAGCTTGTTAACCACCAGGACTTCTACAACACCACAAGTTCAAAGCACAAGGTCTAGCCTACATTTTCAACGTTTTCCGCATTATTTCCCTATTAATAGTGCAAAAAAAGCACCACTAGTTAAAACACTCAGCTGCAGAATTGAAGGCCAACAGTTTGAACTCACCAGTGGCTCCGTGGGAGAATGATGCGGTGGTCTGATTGCCTGAAGAATACAGCTTGGGGCTAAGCTTTGTGACGTAGCTGCGTGAGCTAGAGTGAGGGGGAGAAGCCCCTGAGCGCCAGCCCGCCCTCTTTCACCTGGCGGAGGGGATGGAAACACCTGCCCCAAGTGCTGGAAGCCAACCGCTGGCAACGACAACGCACCCATCCGTGTCTCACCGCCCCGAGACCCGGCGGGTGTCCTCGCGAGACAAACTCGCCGAAATGACTGCTTCCAGTCAAGGAAACGTTGAGAGAAATTTTGAGTCGCTGGACCTCACAGAATTTGCTAAGAAGCAGCCATGGTGGCGCAAGCTGTTTGGGCAAGAATCTGGACCCTCTGCTGAAAAGTATAGCGTGGCCACGCAGCTGCTCATTGGAGGCGTCATGGGATGGTGCACAGGTTTCATATTCCAGAAGGTTGGGAAGTTAGCAGCAACAGCTGTAGGTGGTGGATTTTTCCTCCTTCAGCTTGCCAACCATACTGGCTACATCAAAGTTGACTGGCAGCAAGTAGAGAGGGATATGAAGAAAGCCAAGGAACAACTGAAAATTCGTAAGAGCAATCAGATACCAAATGAAGTCCAAAGCAAAGCTGAAGAAGTGGTAACGTTTGTGAAGAAGAATGTCCTTGTGACTGGGGGATTTTGTGGAGGCTTTCTGCTGGGCGTGGCATCCTAAGGCAGACAACTTTGGGGCTTGTTTTCTTCCATCATTCATCCGAAAGTGTTCATTGCGTTTTTTCTAACCAGAAGCCTCTACACTCCATCGTAGGACATTGAGTCTCTCCTTACCTTCCTGTCCCGTGCCTTCCAATCCTTGCACTGACAAATCCGAATAGCTTTCTGTTGGTACAAGGTAACTTAGTATGGACCCAACTTGAACTTGTTGATGATGGAAGAGACACACATTACATTCTTGTACCGGCACACTCCCAGGAGGTTAGTCTATAGGTCAGCAAGAATTTATCTTTCTGTGAAATAAAACCAACTAAAGAAGAAAGTAGACACCAAGACAGCCACTGTAGTGTGAAAACAGCCATAGACGAAATGTAAACTGATGGGTCTCACTGCCTCAATCAAACGGTATACTACAGCAAGAGATCTGCATGTACTTGTTATTGTTATCCTGACAAAACAACGGCATGAACACTATCTTTGAAATATTGTGAATGTAGAATTAACCTGTGAAGGTATTTCATTTAGTGGGAACATCTTTAGGGAAACCAAGTGGTTCCATACCATGGACTGGCCAGACTGAGGGAATCATGTGGATAATGAACTTCACTGTTTCAAAAGTGACTTTAAATGGGGCTGCTTTGCTTTTTGTGTCATAGAAAAGATTGCAGTTAAGCATTGTAATTGGAAGGATTCCCCTTTTCTCAGAGTAGTAGGAGGAAGCGATAGCTCCTTCAGTACCAATGCTAGTATTTAGCCAGTAAAATGTTTTAACATTTCATTGATTTTTTTCTTCTTCTTCCAGAAGTAGCATTCAAAAGCATTCAGAGTTGAAAAGGAGAGTGAAATAAATTATTTCCATCCTAAAAAAGAAGAATATAACTTGGAAAACCTGTAGTACAGTTTTACTCTGTCCTGTTGCATCGTTATGAGTTAGAATGGACTCAACAACAACAGGTTGGGTTTGGCTAGTTGTCAGAAGAGTTAACATGCTCAGGTGCTAATCAAAAGATTGGAGGTTCAAGTCCATGCAGAGATACCTCAGAAGAAAGGCATCGTGATCTGCCTTTGGGAAATCAGCGATTGAAAACACTAACGCACATGGAGCCACCATTTATCAGACTAGACACAATAGCAACTGTTAGGAGCCTTTTAGATAATTTTCCCTCTGTGAAATTTTTATATTACAGACTTATCTCTGTACTGTATGTACATCTGTTCTTTATTCATAAAACATATATGATGCTTTTTGTCCTTCTCACAAGAACTAAACTTTGCCCATTTGAGACCATATTGCCTCCTTTGGGAATACATGTACTAGAACAGTGGTTCTCAATCATGGGCAGTTTTATCCCATGGAGGATGTTGGGTAATGCAGGACACATTTTTGATTGTTACAGCTTGGAGTGAGTGCTACTGGGCTGCTGTTAGGAGAGAGGTCAGGGATACTGCTAGACATCTTATGGTGCCCAGGAAACCCAATCATGATGATTGTTGGATCCAAATTGTCAAGAGTACTAAGGTTGATACACTCCACTCTACAATCAGACTGCCTAACTTTGAAGTCTAGATATACCACTTACTCACTGGGTAATCTATAGTTTGTTTCTGCAAAATGGTAATCTTAAGAGTAGTGATCATATGAGGTTATTGTGAAGATCACCTGTGTTGACGCCTATGTAACACTTATCACAGTGCCTGGCACATGAACAATATACAATAAAGTTTAGCTTATTATTTTAAATCACATTTTTTCTGGAAATAACAGGTCTCACATCAAATTGTAAAAGTACATAGGCGGAACAAAATCCTTGTTGAAATTTGCACACGTATCTATTTATTTCCATGAAGCAAATATGACCAGTTTGTCTCTATTCCAACTGAAATTCATAATAAATTTCTGAATTGACTAGCAAACTATTAAATTTGGCAGATTAGTGATTATATTAACAAATATAATGGGAAAGAATCAAGGCTGTTACTGCAGATAGATGTATTTTCATTATGCTGTGAAATGGGGAGGAAAAAAAGAGAACTAGAATGTAAAAGCATAATAAATACTTTTCCTGGGCTTTGGTAGACAATCAGGAAGTGTCATTTTGACAGTCAATATATCCTAGTGGCACTTCAGAAACTGCCATTTTTAATAAGAATTTTCAGGTTCATAGCATAGTGAAATATGAATTAGTGACTCTGATATACTCAGGTTGCAAATATCGTTGCAAAATATTAGCTGCCATCTCAGAGTCTCTAGCTATTTATTTCTTTTTTATAAGCATTGCAGGGTTTGCATGTTCAGTGCTGAAGGTCTGGGAGAATTGGCCTTGCTGGATACAACAAAGCGTGGTTTGTTACCGAAAATTGAAAATCACCCTCTTTCCCTTCCTTTCATTTTATTAAAAAAGAAATGGGGAAGTATCCAATTTACTTGCATCTCCATGCCTTCAGTCAGTTCTACTGACTTGACATTTTCTAATCAGAGCTGGTTTTCCAGGTCATCAGTTTGATTCCTTTCTGCTTCTCCAGTCTTCAATATACAGAATGTGTTAAACAGAGATCATCCATAGGAGATTGTTACCACCACCTAGGTCTTCTATTTCCTTCCTTCTCTTTATATATATCATCCAACTACAATCTTTACACAACTTTTAGAGAGTGCAAAGAGTGCTGAGAAAGTAGGACTGATGAGATCTACAACCGAGATGAACCTTAAAAACAGTGACTGAGTGAATTAACAAAAGAACAAATATGATCCCATACATATGAAATGTCTAAAATAGGCAAATTCACAGAGACAAAAGTTTATTAGTGGTCATCAGGAACAAGGAAAAAGGAGAGAATGGGGAGTCATTGTTTATATTAGTAGTGATGGAAATTTGGCAATGGATACTGATGATAGTTGTACAACATGGCTAATGTAATCTGTGTTATTGAATTCTATATGGAAAAATATGTTTCATTGGCAGATGCTGTGCTATATATGTGCTTTACTGTAATAACAACAATAATAATAGTAATTGTTGTTGTTGTTGTTAAGTGCCGTCGAGTCGGTTCCAACCCATAGCGACCATGTACAGGGTTTCCGAGGGTGTAAATCTTTACGGGAGTAGAAAGCCTCATCTTTCTCCCGCAGAGCGGCTGGTAGTTTCGAACCACTGACCTTAAGGTTCGCAGCCCAATTCGTAACCACTACGCTACCAGAGCTCTCTAATAATAGTAATAGTAGAGCTGAAAGTTCAGAGTTACAGAGCAGAGTCTTTAGAGAAAAACTTCATGGATTTAAATTTGACTTTACCACTGATTAGTTCTCTTCCTGTTACCTGCTGAGGATAAATGAAGTAATACCTGAAAAGGGTTTGTATTAGAGCAGCGCCTGAGCCATAGACATGTTCACCATAGGAGAGTAAGTCAAAAAGGATTGCTACAAAATCTTAGTAACCTTTATTAAACAAAAATATCAAAATGTGAATTTATGATTTCTCGACATATCCATCCTTCTTCTATGTCTATTCATTTCTGAAGGTGGTGTTTCTAATCTATTTCCAAAGAGTTCTTCCTTCTTTGAATTACATTATTTTTGTTAGGTGTCATTAAGTTGTACTGACTCACAGTGACCACAACTGAATGAATCACTGCCAGCTCCGGCGCCAATCTCACAACTGTTGCTGCACTTGACACAATTGCTGCTGTCATTGTGCCAATCCATCTTATTGGGGGTTTTCCTCTCTCACTGACCAAGCATGATATCTTTCTTCAGGGACTGGTCTTTCTTGATAATATGTCTGAAGTATGAGAAACAAAGTGTCTCATCCTGACTTCTAAGGGACATTCTGGCTGTACTTTCAACACAGATTTTTTTGTTCTTCTGGCAGTCATTGCTACTGTTAATATTCTCCTTCAACATCATAATTCAAATGCACTAATTCTTCTGTGGTCTTCCTTATTCTTTGTCCAATTTACACATGTATAGAGACTATTGAAACTGTGATAATTTGGGATTGGCATACCTTAGTTCTCAAACTGAAATCTTTGCTCTTGAACACTTTTAAGAGGACTTGTGCATCAGATTTTCCTAGTGCAATACATAGTTTGATTTCTTGACTGCTGCTTCTGTGAATACTGATGGTTGATCCAAGCAAAACAAAGTCTTTGACAACTTCACAATCTTTTCTCCATTTATCTTGATGTTATTTATAGGTCCAGTTGTGAGTGTTTTTATTTTATTTACATTGAGGTGCAGCCCATACTAAAAGCTGTAGTCCTTGATGTTCATAAGTAAGCATTTTAAGTCCTCTTTACCTGCAAGCAAGGTTGTATCATCTGTATATCACAGATTGTTTAATGAGTCTTCCTCCAATCCTAATGCCACATCTTCTTGGATTATTTGCTCAGTATCCAGATTGAATAAGTGTGAAACAATACAACCCTGACTCACACCTTCTCTGATTTAAAACCATTCAGTGTCGCCTTTTTCTGTTCAAATGACTGCCTCATAGAATATGTACAGGTTCCTCATGAGCACAGTTAAGTGTTCGGGAATACTCACCTGCTGTCAGTTAACAGTATTTTTCTCTCTTC